CCTGAGGAAAACCCTACGCGCACGCACGCCTCCTGCATTTGCTACCTCCCCCTTCTCCAAATGCGGCGCCTGGATCGATGCCTTGCTCAGGCAATTTCTGCCGGCGTATGCCTAGGGCGAAAAACCCGTATTCAGGGCGCACGCGTTCAAATAGGGGGTGAATGTCTGGGGGTAGATGGTAGGGGGCGACTACGTGCATCAAGTGCATACGCCGGCAAAAGTTGCCTGAGCAAGGCATCGATCTAGGCGCCGCATTTGGAGAGGGGGGAGGTAGCAAATGCAGGAGGCGTGTGTGCGCGTAGGGTTTTCCTCAGGTAAAACGTGGGGGCTTTTGTGTGTGTGTTCGACCATCGATTTCGATGACAGCTTGTAGACTACCCGGGCCAATGCACCGAATACCGCCCATATACGCAATCAAGGCGCAGTGGGACCAAAGTGGAACTTAAGTGGGACCTTTGTTTCCACTGGAACCACTTTAACCTTTGGTTCTGGAACATTTCCATTAGGGTTTATGGTCAAGGTCCTCTCTCCTTTCGGATGTTTGGAGCATTTTTTTCCTGGAGAAATGTTAACAAGGTCAAGGCAAGAAAATTCGAGGTTTAAGTAGACCGCACATCCTAGTACGCTACATATTGGATTGGGCAGCTCAAAAAGGTTAATCAGGGGAACATGAACACAAAGAACTACTTACACAACTACACCTACTAACGACCGCAACACAACCGTGCTCACTATATCCCAATGTATTTTTGACTTCCAAATTTTACCATTTCGACTCTGTCATGCTGCGGCTACCTTCCATCCTGTCATGTACCGCGTGCTGATTCATCGCATTCCATTTAAATGCCTCGTCTACCTAGACGATTATATTGTCTTCGGCTATATTATCCAAGAGCAAAACGAAAACCTCTCTGAGCTACCCGGAGCTGCCTGTGCGTCTGTTCTAACACACACCCCCTCAAAATGTGTCCTTCTTCGGGATAAAGTTCAATTCGTGGTGCATCGTATCGGGCCATCCGTATTGCCCCTTACCCGATCGGATTGAACACGCCAGGACTTGGCCAACACACAAGAATCAGCCGGAACTGCGTAGCTACCTGGGGTCCGCCTCCTACTATCGATGCTTTTTCTACGGCTTCGCGTATATAGCTAAACCTCTTCACAAACTCCCAGAGAATGGCCGATGGTTCGTCTGGTCTGACAAACGTGCAAGCGAATATAACAATTTGCGTGCTGCTGTCTAGTCCGCTTTGTACCAAGGAAGACAATGACGGCCAAAATCTCCTGTCGAAAAGTGCAGTTATGACGTTGTGTCTTTTTCAATATGTTGCTAGCAAAACAAATCGGAACTCGACCATACATTTGTCCGTCTGAAACGGAATGTCGCAACCAACGCTTTCCATTTTATATTAGATACCAATGCCAGTGGACATGTTGTCTGCGTCGTTCCGTTTCAGACGGACAAATTTATGGTCCAGCATCCGATTTGTTTTGCTAGCAACATATTGAAAAAGACACAACGTCATAACTGCACTTTTCGACCGGAGCTTTTGGCCGTCATTGTCTTCCTTGGTAGATTTATGCATCTACTTATCGGTAAGCGGTTCATACTTCGTACCGACCACCGCACATAACGGTGGTTAGATTCATTCAAAGACCCTATGGACCAGCTGATCCGCTGACCGGAACTTTTGCAAACCCTTGGGTTTGACTATCTACTTTCTCAGTAGACGTCGTCACCGTTGGAGACCTACCTAGGAACTAAGGTTAATAGAGAAAGCCCTTGTAAATACGATCTTTAGGCCCGATTTCCTAAGAAGAGAGAAGAGGTGAGAGGCCAGTGTGGTATGACCGGTCTGTCCTGCACAAAAGGAATTGGAGAAGAGGTAGGAGGAATTCCATTCGCGAACGAGTGCTTTTCGGCTGCTAAGGTGTCGGATCCGGAGTGTCAGAGCGAAGACAGTCATTGCAGTCCTTCCCTGTATGACTCAGCCTTGAGAGTCAATGACCAGACGGAGTAAGACCAGACTACCGATACCGGCATGTCATGACGGATTGAGGTCGGGCTATTACTACGGGTTCCCGCGGAGTCTGTCGCTGTCCAAAAGATAGATCGGAGCTTGCAATCACGAGACGTCATATCTGGAGTTACGCGGAGGAAGTGACGCTAGCGTGCCACCACACACCCGCCATCTGCTTCTTGTATTAATTCTTTTGCGGCGTGGGGACCTACTCGTCATTTCTGAGCGTCAGAGCAGAGCACCGACCCGGTAAAGGCCAACGTCTATAATAATAATAATTTGTATATTTAAGGCCCAAAGGGGCCCTGTCGTTACAA